TCCTTCCTATTTGCGTTCCTATTTTGCAATTCTTCGCGTCGCATTTTTCGCCTTTTTCCCCTTCCCGAAATTATTTTTTTTGTCTGCGGGTCTCTCTTGTTTTTCTTTCTTGGGGAGACTTTGTTGTTACTATTGATGCGCATGCTGTTTTTGTAATGGGTATTGTTGCATTTTGGTTTTGTACTAATAAACAGTAAAATTATAAATTCAACTTACTTTATGCTACCATTCAGGTTTTAAATCCTGTTTAGATAACTGGTTTAACATTGTAGAGAGAGCTTACTAACATTTGTGTCGCCACCGACGAGTATTAATCTTATGTTGGATGTTGCGCGTTCTTGTTATGTTGTAAGCGCTTTGGAGAAACTCTTTTAACCTTCTTTGTGCAATTCGGCTATTCTGAAGCAAAATCATCCTCGATGATAAGGTTAAAGCGGGTCGCACCCCAAACTCTATTGCATTTCAATTTGATACGATTTTACAAATTTGATGAACGGATCTTGTCTGGAATTAGAGACTCATCCTCACAAACCCCACAAAAACGCCATATTACTTTCTCGAGTATCACGATTTCATCTAAACGAGAATAACATCAAATTTTCGTTTTATTGCTTTCATTTCCCTGTGATTCTTTGATTTTGTAGCTGTTCCACGTTATTAGAAATGAAAATGAACGAAAGAACATCGAAAAATGATTTACGGCTTTACTCGAACTTTTTGAACGTTCAACGAAACATAACCAGCTATTCTATTCAAAAAATTTTATAAAAAAGAGCGAACTATTCGTTAGAGAGCATCAAAAATGGGAAAAATCAGTCTTTTTTCAGTTTTCTTTCTCTTCTTATCGTTGTTGATCGCTTTTTCATGGTTAATTATTTGACTGATGACCCTGTAAAACCTGTAACCTGTAATACACAAATCATTCGTTGAAATCAAAATTATGTAAACAATAAAAAAAGAGCCAAAATTTTGATTGCAGTGAAGAAAAACAAAAAGAATTGAAAAAATTCATAAAAACACATTTGTTTGTTTCATAATTTTGTTTTTTTTTGTAATAGTTCCGGTAGTTTACCCCACGCATGGCGCGCAATTCCACGAACTTCAGCGGTATCCCTCACGGGAGACTGTGGGTCGTTCCACAACATCCTTTCGGTTTTTTTGTTGCTCGGGGCTATTCGTACAATCGACCCGGGCCAGCCCATGGCTCCGGGCGCCGCCTTCCATCACTGGGTTAGGCACCGACGAAGCGAGAAGCAAGCTTCTACAAACTCTGCCTCCAAACATTATTGTTTATACCCATCAAACCAGATGGACCAATGTCCGAGTGGACACAAAGGCGAGCGAAGAGCGAAATGGGTCCCTATGTGTAAAGGCCCTCTACCAGAAAGTACGCGATTGTGCCCGCGCACTAAGAACATCCTTCCCCTTATTAAACGATTTAGTTTTTTGTTCTCAGCCATTTTTTGATGGATCGGGCTCATTTTTCTGTCAAAAGATGCGTCTTGAAAAACTGTATCGAATGGGCTTAGTTAGTTTGGCGAAAAGGAAATTTTTGGTGGGTAAAAAGGAGATTGAAACTTTTTGACTGTGCTCTCAATCCCAGTTCTATTGCAAATTTGGCTATTGGCTGTTCAAATCTTCAAGGATGAGTCTAAATTCTTTTGGAAATTGGATAATCAATGAAATTTTCTAATTATCAAAGCAAAACAAACTCAAATTGATGTTGAAATTCATAAAGAGGTAGCATTTCACTTTTGCTACAATTGTTCTGGCATTTCCTTGCCATTTCTTTAGGGTTCATCATTTGATTAGAATCTCTTTCAATCTTTTCACTCTTTCCATTATTGATTGATTCATTGATCTTGATTGATCCATTGATTTTCCATCGATTGATTGATTAACGGATTTCAAATTCAACAACAATGTACAACAAGCATTTCTTTGCATATTGTATCTTGCTCAGACTTTTGCTACGTAAATCTCTGAAAATTCGTCAAAGTTTTACGAAATTCCTTGAATCTTTGAATTGAATGAGTAAAAATGAGTAGAGAATTATATAAAATTATAAAAGATCATAAATGTTTGTATTTCTATTCGAAAAATGGCTTCTGATGAATAATCAGTGAACGGGGGATTCCCTTTCAAAAATCGAGGCGTTTTCTTTAAAAACTAATAACGAATTCGTAATCCTTATCCTCGAAAACTCTTCATTCAAATTTTCAGCCCAATTTGCCTCAAAAAAAAGTGTTAAATCGACTTTCAGCCGACGGGTACGTGGATTTCGCACTTTTTTAAAAATATTTAATAATTATTGGCCACCAAAGCTATTCAGTTTACGGCTTTACCAATCAAGCAACCAATAATCGATCACTATACAGTACTTTTAGCAATATAATACAGGGTGCGGCAAAAGTTCTGACACTTTTTTTCAAACGGCTGTATAAAATTTCAAAAAACAGTATTTGGCTCACTTTTTGTTTTTTTGCATTTGTTAACCTGTTTTTCCTGATTTTTAACAAGAAACAACGCTTTTGTTTAGGTTCGCTTTCAATATGGATGCTAAAAAGAGGCGCACTGTGATACTTGAGTTGCACAAAGCCGGAAAGATACCGATGGAGATTGTTTGAGTCACCGGATATCCAAAAAAAAAGTCTGTCTATCGAGCCATTGAACGATTCAAGAAGCGGGACAACGATCAGGACCGTCCAAGAAGCGGCCGACCAACCACAGTCACCTCCAGAGAACACAAACAAAGTCAGATGCCGAATCCGTCGAAATCCCACTCGTTCAATGAGAAAGATGGCCATAAGTCTCGGAATCAGCGAAAGAAGCGTTTGAAGGATTGTTCATAAGAAACTTGGAATGTTCAGCTACAAATTTGCTCGGGCTCTTTTCCTGAACGACGCCATGAAGCAAAAGAGGATGGCTAAAGCGAAGAAGATCTTGCACCTGGTCGCTGCTGGTCGTTTGGACAAGGTTGTGTTCACAGATGAGAAGATTTTCACCGTTCAAGCTATCCACAATCGTCAAAACCATCGCCAACTTCTCAAGCGAGGTCTGAAAGACACTTTTGCAGCCAAATTGATGGTCCGCCAACATTTTCCGAAGTCCGTTATGGTGTTGGCCAGCATCTGTGCCACAGGAAAGACGCCTCTTGTGTTCATCGATCGAAATGTGAAAATCAACGCTACGGTCTACCAGCAAAAGGTGTTAAAGGATGTCTTAGAGCCCTGGGCAGCGAATTATTTCGGGCAAACTGGATTTACCCTTCAGCAGGACTGGGCGCAGGCCCATGGAGCTCGCTCGACTCTCGCTCTCTGCAATCAGCTGTTTCCGGGCTACTGGGGTAAGGACATTTGGCCGTCGAATAGCCCCGATTTGAACCCCCTGGACTTCTCTGTTTGGTAGACCTTGGAAGACAAGATCTCTGGCAAGAGATTTCACACCGTGGATTCTTTGAAAGCCGCTTTGAAGAGGGCCTGGGCCGAAATCACTGCTCAGTAATGCTCGACCATCGTCGGCAACTTCCGCAAGCAATTGAAGAAGTGCATCGAGGCCAAGGGTGGAAATTTTGAACATTTTTTATGATTTTTTGTTAGTTTTGTCTTCAATAAACAATTTGTTATCGTTTTTTGATTAATATTGCCAAAGTTTGCAACTTTTATTTCTCTTAGAAAAAGTGTCAGAACTTTTGCCGCACCCTGTATTATAATAGACAATAATTTTTAAGGATTAACAATGAAACACTTAAATTTCCAGGACTCATTCTGCAATTTCAGGACCGAATTACGATGGATTCTAAGCGATGCTTTCCTCTTTGCTTTCTATTCCGTTTTCGATTTCGATTTCACGAACAATCAAGTCGCATTAACCGTTCGAGCCTAATTTCTACAAACGATTGTCTTTCTTTGCCAGAATTTCGGTACTTGTCGGTTATACATCCAAAGAGAATCCGCAGTGAATCCAGAGACTCAACTCGGTTAAGAGCTGACAACTTGTGAGGGGTTCAGTGAAGTGAATGCTCAGTGAAGTGAATGTTCAGTGAAGTAGCGATTAGTCGATGAGTCGAACGATTAGTCGAACGAACGAACGATCGCCTGAAGTGACTAGTCGATGAGTCAAACGAAAATCGATAACCGAGAAGACTCGGATGGGGATGCTTAACCGAGATGCGTCTTTGTGGATTTATATTCCCGGCGATTTACTTTTTTCACGTCTGAATGAGGAATGAATTTTAAGTTTTGTACAGAATCTAACACCAAAACTGTACCAAATACAAAAAGATAAACAAAAGTTATAGATTTGTAGTTATAGGCTAGTTATAGGCTACCGAGAAGACTTGGATGGGGATGCTTAACCGAGATGATGTATAACCATTGTGGATATATAACCGACAAGTACCAAAGTCTCTTCCTTTACCTCTTTTTGTCCGATTCTCTCACAAAACGATTGTATAAATAGATTTCAAAGAATGAAGTTCAATTTTGAATAGTTTCACTTAAAGAAAAGAAATAGCTTACAATGAATCAGAGACTTGTCGAAGTTCATTGTCAAGAAGCAATTTCCGGTAAATCACAAAAAAAAGCTTTAATTGCTCATCACTGAAAGGATTATGAGTAAATTGAATCGAAAAATTTGGAATTCTTTTTGAAAAATCATAGAAAAAGCATAGCAAAAAAGGAGAATTCTGATAACGAGACTAAGCCAATGAAAGAAAAAGAAAGAAATCGCAAAAACCAACAAAACTATCAGCTTTTTGTTTCTGATTTGAAAAAGGTGTGCGTGAAAATTCACGCCAGTTTATTGCCGACGCCCAGTTTTTTTTGCTAATTTGTCGGAAGAATTAGGAAAATTTCACTTCTAAACTTTTTTTTAGAGCATTTTCATGTCTTTAATATTTAAAGTCCATTGCTATTGAATATTCAAGTTTTTAGCGGCACTTATCTGATCGATTTTTTCATTATCTTCATTAAATTAGCTTTCCCGGATTCTTTTCGTGAATGCCATTCAATGTGCAAATATGGCTTCTATTGAAACTTTTAATTTTACTCAAATTTTCATCACTCTGGCTGATACAAGGTTTGTGAATTGATAGAAATCATAGAAAAAAGCTTGGCAATACTATAAGTGATGTTTTTCGTTCTGAAGCACCAGAATTCTACAACAAAAAATTCGTTGCCGGGATCGAACCCGGGTTCTAGGTGTGAGAGGAATAAAGCTTAGCCATTAGAGCATAAGGGTACTGGAGGAAAGAGAGGTAAAAGGAGGAAAGAGAGGAAAGAGAGGTACTGGAGGAAAGTGAGGATGCACTTGAGCTGTTCTCTGGAGTGACACGTAAAGCTGGCGTAAAGCACGTAAAGCTGGCTCGGCTGGCGTAAAAATTGAATGGTTTATATACCCAACTTTAGCCCAAACTCCAATCGACGCGAGCTATCAAATCGTTTTGCGAGGAGCCGATTTTCAGTTAAAAGCCACACTCAATTTTACGAAAACGAATTTTACGCTCGATGTCGATCGAGATCCCACCAATAAGCACGATTACCCGTTTTATCTAAACGAGACCACGTTTGTTACTTTAAACACTTTCCGAAAGAAATATTTTCAAGAAAAAAGTAGATTTATAATAAATTACTTCCTTTAAAAACAAAAAAACAAAATTTCATTCCGTTGCCGGGAATCGAACCCGGGCCTTATGGGTGAGAGCCATAAATCCTAACCACTAGACCACAACGGACCTGTTGACGAGAGGGAAAAGAGGGGCTTTTCAAGGCAGCAGCTGTCAGTCAAGACTGAATTCTTTGATTGCTTGAGATAAGATCTGTACTATCATTGAACAAAAACCATTTTTATTTTTCAGTTGTCCTCCAAAATGTGAGGGTCAACTCATCGGGAATAGCAGTATCCAAGTGCAACATCCCTACTTTGACATTGTGCAATTGAGTGGATTCACTAATGAGAAGTATCATTTCTCGATACAGGTGAGAACTGGTGACAATTCTAGGCTATTTAACTGATTATAGAGCTTGTAAGGTTGTAAATCGATAAGCCAAAAAGAATGTTTAGTACCAGCCAGTCGGCCTTAAGCCAAACTGGCTCAAGGTTCAGTTGACCGACAAAACCTGACGCTTGGCCTAGACTAAAATCTACAAAACTATGGCCTGGATCTGACCCAGATCTGTCAAACCTGTTTGGGCCTGATTTGGGTCTAACACTGGTGCGCACTGTACATAGTATTGATGCGAACCGTACATAGTGTGTACGAATTCTTTTTCTTCCAGGGCTGTTACCAAGAGATTGGCTTAGACGACGCTGTTTGCTATACCCGACATTTTGGTGGTCTCCATCCACCAATGACTGTCTGCATTTGTGGACTACTGAGAGATGATTGTGACGGTGCAATGAATCCAAAAAAGTCAAGAGCTGAATGGTTGGAAACTTGGAAAATTGATCTATAGCTGAAATTTAGTCCCGAGATGCCGTATAGTAAAGAAGAAGTACCCGGTGATGATAGTGGTGGGTGTACTTTGGGTGGAAACCCAGCCTGTTTGGTGCATTTAAATCGGGTGCTCCAGAAAGGGTGCCATCATGAGCACAAAGAGCATTCAATGAAGCAAGCAAGCTGTGAATGTTTAGGCATTCACACATACACGATTTGCCTTGATCAACCGACGCCACGAGTGCATGTCTTCAATGAAATGATTCTCGCCGTCGATGAAAACGTTTGGAGCTATGGATTGTTGAATTTGCGCAATGAAAGCACGACCGAACTGAGAACAAACGACGGGGGAACGTGCGTTCACTTTTGAAGAGACAAATCACAAGTTTTTTTTCAGTTGTACTGATTACTGTGAGCAAAATGAAGGACAACAAGATACAATGAGCATTTTATTGGGGAAACAGAATGTTCTTGATCTTATCTTTGATTCAAAAATACAAGATTGGAAGTTCACGATTTTCAACGATCCGGTGAGTGAGTGGTTCTAAACTAGAAACACTTCCTTTTTGGCATACTCAGCTCTGGTTGAGTATGCCAGAATGTTTATGTTTTCATTGAGCATTCTATTCTTTGTTTGTTTTTGTGTCAAATGATCCTAGGCAATAACCGTGATTACCTCAAAATGTGTCACATTGCCATTGTGTGATCGGGGAATGGTGGTCGAAGTTTGCTCGCTTGATAAGAGTAGTGGGACTTGTGAATACGACTCGGGTATGTGGTATGTTTTATCGTGATTTGGGAAGTAGATTATCTAAGTCTTTCATAGCAAAGTTCATGGAAAATCCAGAAATCGCTGATCATTTTAGCTTCGCACAAAACTCAACCATTATCCCATCCACTCAAGCTACATCTACATCGGTGATGACCACAACTACAACTATAGATTCAACAATTACAACAACGACAACTACAACAACAACTACTACAACTACAACTACAACTACAACTACAACTACAACTACAACTACAACTACAACTACAACTACAACTACAACTACTACAACTACGACGATTCTGAGTACTTCATTGGCAACAACAGTTTTTACGACAGTAACAACTGAAATGTCGACAACTGAACCTTCAACAACCGAGACCACAACGACTTTTCAAGGTTCAATTGCTACAACAGAAACGAGTTCTACCGCTGATCTAACGGTGGGTTAGACTCTTGCCTAATAACATTGAAACCTATCAAATTTGGCTTTAAAGTTTAGACATCGTCCACTACAATCACCAAAACACCTACGATACCTACAACAACTTTACGTACAACTGCTTCAACGACAACAATCCCGCTCACTGTTTGCATGGATTGTGGCCTGTCGTTGAAGAATTTATCGGATGTAAGTCAAAAAAAGGAATTTATTCAGAAAATCTCTATTATCGGGTAAATTTTTCAGATTCCAATGACTCCCGAGACAGCGGAACCGATTCTGAAACTTGCGCTGAATTATACAGGTCAGTGCTGAAATTCTATAGACGTTCTAAAATCAAAACTGCTTTAGAGAACGGTGAGGAATTGGTGGCAGCTGATCTGCATTCTTTGGCGACGATTTTCGAGAATTGTGCTAAGATGAAAGGGTCTAATCCAAAGGTGGGACAATCAGGCTCTCTATTCTTCTTTCTTTCGCTCTTTCTTTTTAGTTGAATAACTTTCAATTAAGATCTTCTGATTCAAAAAAATAGCTGCGATTTAAACTGCGATCTTAATTATAAATAAGATTATCTAAGTCATTCTACTGTAAATTGTTTATTTTTGATTAAATCTAAGTACATTTATATTCTAAAACTAGAACAACAATAAAGCCAAAAGCAAATTTCTGTAATCTGGTCATCAAAAGACCGTTTTTCCGGCAGACCCACGCAGCACGGATGGCCGAGTGGTCTAAGGCGCCAGACTCAAGCGAGCAGCTTCCCGCAGGCAAGGCGGGTTCGGGCCTTCTGGTATCTTCGGATGCGTGGGTTCGAATCCCACTTCGTGCAGATTTTTTCCAAGAAACTCAAAAATGTTAGAATTGGGTTTTTGTTTTGCATTTCTTTGCAAAAACAAATTAATTTCTTAGTCAGATCTGTAACTAGCTTCTGATTGAATTCTGACCTACCCTACACTGATCAGGCCCACATACTTTAAGGCTCGATCGGAATACCTAATCGTAAGTCAGGCCTGGAACCAGCCTGACTTGGTCCTGTCCTGCGTACAAGCCTTGTGTCCAGTTGGAACAATCCTGACTGCTAGAATGATTACGGAATGTAGCCAACAAATCAACTTATTGTTTACCTTGTTTCCTTCAGCTTCTCCACTTGATCTTTACCAATATCAATGGAATGCTCGATGCCCGGGAACAAGAGTATTTAGAGAACTTGGAGACTATGGGAAAAGAGGAACAAGCAGCGGCTAGGTGAGTGATATCCTTGATATCAAGCTGCTCTTACCTTCAGGGTTCTAAACTCAATGCACAAACTCGTGACCCATGTACAGGGTGACATTGAGTATAATGCTGGGACAAATGTGGGGCTGGCGAGTAAATATTTGGTTGACAAGGAATGCAATTCGATTGGGATTACGACTTTGGGTGAATTTACATAAATAATTATTAGAAAAGAAAAGTATCCAGTTCAGAGTCCTAAAACCGATTTCAGATCGCCGATTCAAAAGTGGTGGCGATGTGGAGAATCTGAAAGGGGAATCGTCAATCATTCTGCCAGCAAGTTTCGTGTGTGGTAGTGAAGGTAAGTCACAATTTACATCATTTTTTAATTTATTAGGCTTAGAATTCTATGCAGTTGTGAAACTCATATTTCGTTTTTATAAAAAGCAAAAGTCACGACAAAGCAGACAAAGGGAGTCAAACTCGGGTTGACCGTAGACATAGACGCTTCCGTAGACGCTTCCGACTGCTACACGGCGACAACAAGCCTCGCAAAATCAAGAAAATGCTTTGATAAATTATCTTTTAAAAACAGGAACCCACGCTGTTGTCACGATTTTCAAAAACCGAAAACTTTTCGTTGGGCAAGGATACAATACGATTAAACAACGATTGGATGATCCATTGCCTGATGAAGATGATGATGAGGTTAGATATTTGATAGTTTGTCAATCAGACCCTTTCGTGCGTACCTTTAATGTCGTTTGTAGGGAAAAAAAGGCATCTGACACACTGCCCCAGATAGAACTAGCCGAAAAACCCTTCGAGCCGGTTTAATTACCCAAGTGTGCGTACCTAAGGCGTCGCTTGTAAGAAGAAACGGCACCTGGGGCACCGCTTTGGATAGCGATCGATTTAATTACCCAAGCTTTATGCCAAAAAGGGTGCGACTTTGTTAAAACAGAAATTTTAGGATGACGACGATGATGGAAATAAAACCGGGACAAGTCTACCCTTTTCACAACCACCACCACCCAAACCGTGTGTGAGACAAGGCTTTCTGCAGGGTGAGTGACCTCTTGAAGAACTTGGAACTTGTAAGAATGCCTTTCAAATCCAATTCAGATCGAGGCAATGTTTTCACAGCTACAATGATGAACGCGAATAATCCCGACAACGTGACTTTCATTACAAGAGCTTCATCAACGGCTTCTTCAAAAGTGACTGCAAAAATCGTTATCGATACTTCACAAGTAGGTATTTCTTGTAGTTAGTAATTAATTCCTTTATCCAACGCCTTTGGACTTAACAATCCTTTTCTAAAATGATTTGGGTGCAAAGGTAGTTGGAGGGCCAATCTGTAAACTCTTGACATGTTGAAATTTTATACTAGGGTTATTGATGATGCTGAATCGATCGTGGTATTCTCAAACTATGATTTCTTGTTATTTTGATGTTATTACACATGGGCCCGGCTTTGATATTTTTCTATTTTTCGATGCTCAATTCGGGCAACCTCGATCTTTCCAAAGCAGTCCCTTATTGCCCAGTCAATCATCGAAATGCTTATCACACTCGATCGCGAGTTTGGGCCATTCTCTTAAGAGGTTAAACACCTTCAATTCAAGCCTAGCTGCTAAACCTGCTTGCGTCATACACTAAAGAAAAACTTAAGAAAAGTTATAAAAAGGAAAAAGGAAATAAGGAAGCTTTTTAGCTTTTAAAAAATAAAGCTTTTTCCTTTTGATGCTTAAAAAAATAGAAAAATATCAAAGCATCATGATTTAACACAAAACCCAAGACAAAGTAACAAGAAGCTCGCGCTATGACAGATTATTTAGATTTAGATTTGCGTTTTAGTTAAAAGGAATTGGTTGAGTTTCTACGGAGTGAACGAATTCAAAACAATGAAGTAGAGGGATCCGAAAAGAAAACAAAATAAAACTGTGTTTGAATTTTAAACAACAACCTATAAGCAAATAATCTAAAAAGGAGGGAACGAACGAGGGAAGAAGAAAGAGAGAGAGAGAGTATTTTAAAAACGCGCTACAAAAACATAATAGATTTTACGAAGAAGAAAGAAAACTTAGCGAGACTCAGCAATAAAAATCGGAAAAAGTTTCTGATGGAATGAAGGAAAATGAAAAAAATGGCAAAAGAAGAATTTTTTGCGGGGTACGGTAGTAGATCCAGGCTTTAAAAAGCGCGCCACTTTCGCGTGCCAGTCCTTTAAGACAGCAGTAGTAATTTAACTTTGTTTTTATTTGATAAAATGTTTTCTTTCAGTTCACACGAGCTTTACATGGAAAATATAAAGTTTCTTGGTGGGATACGAGAAATTTGAGATGGGCTGATGATGGATGTAGAGTGGTTGAGGGAAAAAAGGGAATGCTCACCGCTGAATGCGAGCATTTGACCGATTTTACGCTGTTGATCGTGAGTTTTGGAGGAAATGTGAAATTGATACACTGATACCTTAAAAAAAAAGTATTCCGATTTTAAATCTACCGTAAATACTGTAATAGTACCCCATCCCGATAATGACGGTGCGGAGTGTTTCGTAGCCTAGCTTTGAACGCGTTTTTCTCGACGCTGGTTTATGCTACAATGCTACAACATATATCAAAAAAATAGCTGAAATTCAGGGCTATTTTTTGATACCTAAACGCGCATTGTAGCATAAAGCAGCGCAGAGAACGGGATGTATAAAGTTAGACTACGCAACCATCCCGAAAAAAAACGCGTTTTTCTCGACACTGGTTTATGCTACAATGCGCGCTTAGGTATCAAAAAATAGCTGAAATTCAGGGCTATTTTTTGATACCAAAGACACATTTTTTGAAAGTATGGGCGCTTTGAAAAAAATGAAATACTAAAAAACTTTTGCGACTACGCGACTGTACGAGAAAGGTGGGGTACTATTACAGTATTTACGGTATGTAAAGTACAGTAGAATGTAACGTATTTTGTCTAATAGTGTCTAATGTCTAAGCGTCGCGTTTAGTTTAGCAAAACGTTCAAGAGCATTTTGTCTTGTTAGCTGAATACTTTTACTTTTATATACTAGTCAGTGAGAAAGCTGTTTACAGTAGAACAAAGTTGACAGTCAACAACAAGTTTAAAGCTCCCAAAAGCTAGTCGCTAGTCCTTTCACTTTCAATTTAAAGCCTTTCCCAATTGCAGGACGGTCGCTTAAACGATCCAGCTGTTTGTGATATATTCTTAATCATTTTCGGCAACATCATCAACATTTCCTCAATTCTTTGTCTCTTTGTCATGCTCATTGTAACTGGATTGGGATAGTGAGTAAAATTTTGAATTATAAAAATAACTTTTTTTAAGTTCTCATCGATTAAAGAGGCATTCTTATATAAAAAAGATTGTCGGTTCAAGGCCACAACGACGAAATCTCCTTCAATTGCTTTATATGTGCACTTTGTTTTTATTTTATCTTATTTTCACTGTATTTTCAAATAAGAAAATAGCTGGAAGAGTGTGTGAGGAAATGGCTGCGACAAGTTATATGTTATTTCTCAGGTTTGGATTAGTTCATTTTATGTACTTTGTGCTCCTGAAAACACCCTTTTTTGTCATAACATTTGCCATAAAAAATCCCCACCTTTTACCAAAGAACAAAGGTGAGATTTGATTGCCACTTGTGCATTAGAAGGCGCACGTTTACGAGGTGAACTGCTCAGCCTACAGTCTGTTAGTACTCCAGAAATAGTTTGTTTCCACTCTTTAGCACAAAGTACACTAGAAAACCAAACTTTTGACTGTTTTAGTAACTTTCAGCTGCATAATGCTAACGATTTTTCAATCTCTGAAAACTGTTGAACTATTCTATTCTCGTCGAGAGATTCCAAAAGTGATTCTAAAGAATTTTAATCGTTTATGGGTTGTCATCACAATCAGTTTTGGTTAGTTTTTCAATAGAGTTCCGAATTTCTAAAAGAAATAAGCTTTCAGGCTTTCCAATCGTTCTATCATTGTTTCTCTACTTTTTCTCGTATTTCTTCCAACGTCAGGATGATTAGTGAAGGCTATTGCAATACATTTACAAAATAGATATTCAGTTGTTGGGTGAGACATGATATTATTGAATACGCGATTGTCATTCCGCTATCGTTTCTATTAGCGAATGCTGTTTTGTGTACAGCTTTAGTGGCAAGGAAGTTATTTTATCGAGGAACGTCAAGCTCGAGGGTTGGTGGCAATTTTACAGCTTTCTAAAACGTGGCAACTTTCCGTAATCCTTGCTTTCATAGCTACAGTAATCCTTACTTTCATAACTAATGTAGTCCTTGCCCTCATAGCTGCCATAAGCCTTGCCTTCTTAGCTACAGTAATCCTTGCCTTCATCTCTACCATAACTCTTGCCTTCATAGCTACCACCTTGCCTTCATAGCTACCGTAGCCCTTGCCTTCATCTCTACCATAACCCTTGCCTTCATAGCTACAGTAATCCTTATCTTCATAGCTACCATAACCCTTGCCTTCATAGCTACAGTAATCCTTATTCATAGCTACCATAACCCTTGCCTTCATAGCTACAGTAATCCTTATCTTCATAGCTACCATAACCCTTGCCTTCATAGCTACCATAGTCCTTGCCTTCATCTCTACCATAACCCTCGCCTCTGGCTCTATAGTATCTTTAGACCAAAAATAGAGTAATCCGTTTTCTAAACTGTCTAAAAAGCTACCGTAATCTTGCTGTAATCGTTTTCTTCATGCTTCTTAACCGAAATAGATCAAAAATAGAGAAATTAGAGAAAAACAGACAAGACTACAATAGCCTTTAAAAGGTTGACACGTTTTAGTTGTTGAACACCCACTTTCAACCAAAATTCCCCTCCTTCAGATCATGCTAACACGAGCACATATCAGACAACGTGTCTACACACTGATTCTCATGCAATTAACCCTTGGAATGCCTTGGGTTTGGCTATTTAGATTCTATTTTTTAGAAGCTCTTCCAGATCCTCCAATACCTCACTTTATTCTCCCCAACCGTCTCTGCTTATCATTATTTGTTTACTTTTGCGAATGGAAGTCAAGGAGTTATGTTGTTTATTTTATGGATATTTAGAAGATATCGACAAAATGTTACGGGTGAGTTTGAATTTGAAATGGATTAAAGCATTGTCTATAATTCTGTCTATAATTCTGTCTATAATTCTGTCTATAATTCTGTCCATAACTCTAGCTCGTCGCCATAAAAACGACACAACAAACACGAAAACGAATGGAACAGGAGAAACGAATTTTGAAAGTGAATAAAACTTTATTTAATACAATAAAATCCCTTTTCTATTTCCAAAAAGATAGTAAAAAGATGAAATTGATGAAATTCAATAGTTGGAGAGTGATTTGAAACCAAAAATTCCAGCATTTGATTATTCGAAGCCAAAGGGGTTTAAGTTCGCTGTAAAAATCGTTTTCGATCTTTTTCTTACACGTTTAGTCATTAAAAAACAATTATACTTGAATAAATTCTTCAATTTTCAACTTTTCAACTCACTCCTCTTTCTTCTCGACTTTCAATGGAGCAAGTGTGACAAAGAAGCACGCCAAACAGAGTATCAGTGTTGAGATCAAGACATAGAAACCTGCAGAGGTTGATTAGCTTGGCTTTAGCTTGGCTTTAGCTTGGCTTTAGCTTGGCTTTAGCTTGGCTTTAGCTTGGCTTTAGCTTGGCTTTAGCTTGGCTTTAGCTTGGCTTTAGCTTGGCTTTAGCTTGGCTTTAGCTTGGCTTTAGCTTGGCTTTAGCTTGGCTTTAGCTTGGCTTTAGCTTGGCTTTAGTTTAATGTTTAAAGAACTTTAACTGTTACCCGATTTCCTATTCCATTACCATTCTTCCCACACTCACCCAATAAAGGAAATTGTTTTGTTTGTGGAAGGTCAGCAGCCACAATGTCTAACAAAAGTGTGATCGAGATGAGACTCGTTTGGCCTAAGATTATCTAAAAATAAATGCTAAAATCGAATCTATTTTATCATCACCTTATCCACGTAATTTTTCTTATTGCTTGGCGTCCAAAAAATGCCAAAAACTGTAAGAGTTGAGAGGATAAAAGTTGGGAAAATGATGACGAAGACGTAGAATTGAGGCTCACGTTTCAGACACATATAGAAAAAGACCTCAAATTTGATAAAGAATCCATAAAACTGATTATTTATTGAGTTGATAACACTTGGTTAAGCTAAAATTATTGATTTATTGATTTGATAACACTAAGCAGATCCAGCAAACTTTAAAACAGAACTTTTGGTATCTGATACAAGGTCTTTCTTCGTTATGACGCTACAAGCTTCGTTATGACGCTACAAGCTTTGTTACGACGCTTCTTTACGACGAAATAGTGCGAAAAGTTTAGATTATCAAAGCTAACAATATACTGGAGAAAGCTGACCTCATCAAAAGAATATTCAGGCGAAGTAAAGTGTTGAAGATCTCCGGTGACATTTGTTACTTTCCAGTTCCCGCTTCCCTGAATATCTTTATTTTTCTAAAGATCTTCATTCACTCACTGAATACAATGAATAATCAAAATAATTGATCCCATAAGTCATTGAAACTTCGTAGAAATCGTAAGACCAAACCATGAATTTCATTGCGCAAAGCTGCTCGTCAAAGGGGAATTTTTGAAGCTGAACTTTGTTTAGGGAAATAGCTTGATTAGTGAAAGATTTTGGAGGTAATCGCCTAGGAATTTTATTGATATTGGTTTTAAAAAATCCCACATTTAACGGACAAACAGTCTCCACATAGGTTTTCTCCATCATTTGAAGCGTTCCATTCGCGTAGATTTTCACGGTTTTCTTGTAGTATGGAATGATGTCATTCATGGTGACTCTAGATTTTCTTTTGAGCAAACTAGTAACCGTCAACACTTTACGTATCGGATTGGGTATTCTCGGGAATCCACACCGATGTGTAGGCTACCCAAATATGGTTGATCCCACCAAACAACTCCGGGCGCCAAGAGAGGCGGATGTCTTGCCATCTCTGTGAATTGTAGGGTAAGAATCTATTGTAGAAGAGCTACTGTAGTAGAGATACTGTAGTAGAGATACGGTAGAAGAGCTACGGTAGAAAAGCTACGGTAGAAGAGCTACGGTAGAAGAGCTACTGTAGTAGAGCTACTGTAGTAGAGCTACTGTAGAAGAGCTACTGTAGAAGAGCTACGGTAGAAGAGCTACCGTAGCCTGTCCATTATCTATAGGTACAGGACAATAACAATACTAGAATACTACAGTAAACTGACATAGAAAAGCTCTAGAATGACTCCAATCTGCTGATCTTCTTCTTTAATGTCCATCAAACGGATGAAGTTCAAAAGGATTTCAACGTTAAAGCGTTCAGTTTCTAAAAAAGATACAATAGAAATCTTGAAATCAAATACCATTTCTTGGATCGATTGGCGATAAACATTTTGAATAGTTTCTTTCATTGAACAAATGATTGTACAATCGCTGCGAGTCGCTCAGATAGTTCATATAGTTACCGAAAAAAAAACAGTATAAAAACTTTTCCCAACCTCATTTACTCACTATTAATCTCCATTCCTGGATAGAGATCATTTGTGGGAATTAGAGCGGTGACGAGCAAGAGATTGTTTGTAAATATCAACAGTTTCCACATTGACTTTGAATTTGAAGAGATCGGCATTGCTTTTAATGTTTAATCAAGAAAAAAAAATCTGGCTGATAACCAATAAAACTAATTTTTAAAAAGCAAGAAATATTTATGCAAAATCTATTCCCAAAAAGACATTAACCAGATAAAATTGGCCAAATGAAATCCCTGGAATAAAATATGAAGCCAGAAATGAGAATGGAGACAATGCCAGACGAGGAGACGCTTCCAAAAACGAATCTTTGAATCGATCAATTCTTTTTTACTAGAAAAGTAACAAAAATTGATTAAAAAACATTGAAAACATACTCTTTTTCATCGATTTCTTTTTGATTCTCTTTTTTCTTCTTCTCGTTTTTGAGTGGAATCGCGGTGAGAACAAAACAAGAGATGCAGAGGATGAAGACAGAAATCAACACGTAGAATCCTCAAAATATCCTTTAGCATTCGACATTTTAATGTTATTGTTACCCAATAATGGAAAGTGACTTGTTTTTGGAAGATTTCCAGAAACGATATCGAGAATGACCATCAATGAGACGAGACTTCCGAAACCGAGCATTTGCTGAAGAAAGGAAAGAGTGGATAGGTGCTTCACTTACTTTTCGTTCAAATAATCTTACCGACTAAACATTTTACTGTAGGAATACAAGGGAGCGAGTTACTTTATAATACTAAACAAGACAAGGAAACAAGTTACTTTACTATACTAAACAAGACAAGGAAACAAGTTATTTTACAATACTAAACAAGATAAGGAAACAGTACTAAACAGTTCCTTTACAGTACTAAACAAGACAAGGAAGCGAGTTACTTTACAATACTAAACAAGATAAGGAAACAAGTTATTTTACAATACTAAGCAAGATAAGGAAGCTAGTTACTTTACAATACTAAGCAAGACAAGGAAACAAGTTACTTTACTATACTAAACAATACAAGAAAACAGTACTAAACAGTTCGTTTACAGTACTAAACAAGATAAGAAAGCTAGTTACTTTAAAATCCTAAGCACTCTTTGTACTCTTTGTACAAATCAGTTGTCTTTGGACTCTTTGTAAAAATCTGTTGATTCTTTTGTGAACATCTTGTTTACCTTATCGATTTGATTCCTATCTGTTAGAGCTGTCCAAAAGAGTCCAGTTGTTGATAGGATGCAGAGAGAGAATGTTGGGATGATGATGACAAAGAAGTAGAATTCTGGTTGCCGTTTGAGGGACACTTCGAAGATTACCTAGAGATTTGAATAGAATATTTCGATCTTGTGCACATTACTGCATCGAATGAAAAAGTCTCAGGAAAGAATTGAATCCCGCCGGTGATATTCGTCACCTCCCAATTTCCTGTACTCTAAATTGGACTTGTTAGGTAATCTTTTAGATGCTTAGATAATCTTTTGGTAATCTTTTTACTTAAGCAAACCCCTTCTAGCTCTAGTTCTAGCTTCTAGTTCAGAAAATGAAAGATTGAGTTCGCCAGAAAGATGTTGTTTACAGGGCATAAAGGACACCAAAGTTCAGTTAGCAAAGTTTCTATTTTAGGCATAAAGTATAACATTTGAATGCTAGTTTCTTTGTTTTTTTTTAACCAATTCAGTTTTTCTCTTAAACTCACCGAGTACTTTAACTGAAAATCATTGATTTGCCACGTCATCGACACTTCCCAAAAATCATACGAGTAAACCATGAATTTCATTGGACAAACTTGACGATCGAAGGGGAAATGATTGAGCTGAATTCATTTTTTTCGATTGATATACTTTCGAAATGTAAAGAATAACCATTAATGAGCACACTGTGTCCACATAGGTTTTCTCCATCAAACGGAGAGTCCCATTTGCGTAGATTTTTACGGCTTTCTTGTAGTCGGGAACGATGTCGGTGAAAGTTCTCCTGGAAAGAGTATTTGAAATTTCTGACTCAAGAAATTTAGTCTTAATTAAAGCTTTTTGAAACAAGGCAAGCGCTACCGTACTCCAGGGACTTACTGTACCCTATCAGTTACCGTACTTCAGTGAATTACTGTACCCTACCAGCTACCCTACTTCAGGGAATTACTGTACCCTACCAGCTACCGTACTTCAGGGAACTACTGTACCCTACCAGCTACCTACTTCAGGGAGTTACTGTACCCTACAAGCTACCACACTCTCGCAGCTCTTTCACAGCTACCGTATTCCGACGGATCAAAGTTTAACTTTAAGAATCAAACCCACGTATCGGCTTGGGCATTCTCCGGTATCCAAACATCCCTATAATCGACCCAGATATGCTCAATTCCACCGAACCTTGCTGGATTCCAAGACAAACGGACATCTTGCCAAATCTGAAAGCCAATTTAAACCACAAAACAATATCGCTTACGTAAAAAATCTCAAGCAAAATCCCGATTCTCTCGTCTTCGTCCATCTAGAATTCTTTGAAAATTTCGAAACTTTCAAAAAGTCTTACAACGTTCATCAATTGAGCGAAATTTAAGATAAGGTGAACGTTGAAACGCGGATTCCCTGCAAGAGTGGAGCGGTTGAGAAAAGATTCGAGACTCAAATCTCCTGTAGACTTACTGTAGCTATACTGTAAACCTAATTGTAAATCAAAATGAGTGGGCTATCGTTGATGTGAAACTAGAAGTCTTTATCATTTTAAGCTGATCGATTCTCATTCCTGAATCAAACCCAAATCTCTCACCATTCATTCTCGAGTCAACCGGTGACAACGCAGAAGTATAATTCCTTTCGGTAAATAAATGATTGTATAAAATTTGCGATGCATTCAAATAATCCAAATAATTATCTAAATAACTTTCGATTTTTCTAACAATTCAACTTACAATTAAATTGAAGCCCTTGATAAAGGTGATTCGGATCGAACAATGCCGTCGTTAGTTGTAATGAAATCAATAAATATAGAAAATTAAGTAAGCTCATTCTGAAATATTAGAGATAAAGAAAGAAAAGTAACAAAAAAACATCAACTTGAACTCAATTTTATCAATTGCACTGACGCATTAAATGTTTCGCAAAAATTCTTTGCCCTTGGAAGAAGAGAATTTAGAGAACTGAAATTTGAGAAGCTGTTGCATACCCGTGAATTCTCGGCTTTAGAAATTGACTTTTCGAAGATGAGCTCGGTTTTGGGAAAGAAAATGGCAAGGTTCTCTAAGTGAAAAATTGCGGAGGGATAGAAGCAATGTTGATTTAAGTGTTCCAGAAATCAAGAGTCACTGTTTTTGAGTACAAAGTGCGGGTGTTAACTGCAAAAGCATTTAAAAACAAAACTCTAGTTTTCTCATCAATCAATGACTGTCGTTCCATTGAACAGTGGTGAATTTCAGTTCAAAGAAGAGAAAAAAACGACCATTTATGTCAATAGAGTGAAAAGTTTCTTGGAGAATTCCATAACTAGAGTCGGCTGTGTCAATTCGAAAAGAGAAACGAATAGAGACGTTGCGAAAGAAAATAGAGACGATTTTGGAAGTGAAAGGTAATAGTGACGTCAAATGAAAGAGATAAATCAGTAAAACGGAATCTTTGTTATGAAAAAAATAGCCCTAAATTTCAGCTATTTTTTGATACCTAATTGTAGCATATACCAGCCACACAAAGAGCACCTCGCCAATCATTTACACGGATTTTTTTTTCCTTTGTAGATGCTAACAAATATTCAGCTGTAAATTTGGGTTTTTTCGGGGAAATCAAACGGGAATCTTCATTTATAATCCTTTATCAGTGTAAGACTGCAAACTACAAATCTTTTTTGACTATGATTATGCGTTCAGAATCAGTAGACGAATCAAATGTTGACTTTGATGATGCTTTGTTTCTCTAGACATTGTTCCAAAGTGGCTACTGTACCTCACATTTCCCTTTTCGAATCTCTTCCTCAAATCCCTTCTCCAATCTGTTTCTCTTTCAGGTTGAAGGCGGAAAAAAACTTTCGATCTACCGTCTTCTCATTTCCTTCATTTTTTCTCAGCTCTGCCCAGATTTGAGGACATTTTGTGGAAAAATTCTGCTACTTGGTTGAAGCTGTAGTTTTTCACCTTTGGCTTTCTGCTACTTTAAATTTTGAGCTCTCTACAATATCAGTTACAGTGCTGTTTGGTTACAGTATCTTTTGACTGCAATTCAACTAGCAAGTTATTAGATTTTTGTTGAAATTACAGCTATTTTCCAAGTTGTATCCCAGTTACAGTACCCCTTGTACCCACGATAAATATCCATTCTTTAGTATAAACCAGTCTGTAGGCACAACTTCATTCCTTCTTTCCATTTGTATACTTTCTATTGTACTTTGTGCGCGTAAACGCACTTTACGACAAACAAGAATAAGTACTGCACTCTGTTCTTTGGAGAGTATTATTACAAACAACAGGATGGAACTAGTGTTCTAGTGTTCTCCAGGGCTATGCATAAACGCTTGCCTTTTGGCACAGTAAAGTTTGGCTTGTGACCGGTTTATTTACTCAATTAACGATGTTTCGCCAAACGGAAGACCCCAGTGCACCAGAAAGGAGCTGTTTCGGACAAAGTACTACAAAGAACAGTGCAGTACTTATTCTGTTCCAGCTGTTTAATTTGTTCATTTTGATTGATTAGTGTTTCGACTTGTTAGCTGAATATCTTATTTATAATTTTCAGACATCTATTCTACTTTTCCACAAATCGATTCTCTATTCAATTCCTCTTTTCTTTCCCCTCTCAAAATCGTGCTCTTCTGTTTGGCGTGCGGTCAGAGAAACGCCAGAAAATGTTACGGGTCAATTGCTTGCAAGTAAGTTTAGCTAAGTTTCTTTAAGAAAAGATAATACATTATACAATAAATATATAACATTTATTGATTTCAGTGCCTGTAAAATCTTCTTCCTCCGCTCGACGGCACGAAATGCAACATTCACTTGTTTCAATGATGGAAAGTGCAGTTTTCGTGAGTTCTTGAGCTTGTTCAATAGGTAGATAGAGCTTATCGTTAGGTAATTAAACTAATAAACTGTTGTTAATTCAACAGGTAATTAAGTTAACTTAAAGATAAGCTTATTAGCTGAAAGTTTTTAGCTAGAGACGATTGTCGAGCTTGTCGCTATCAACAATGTCTCAAAGCTGGTCTCATTCCGAATAGTGAGTTCTTTGTTCTTGCGAGTAACGCATAAAAGCTCGACTTCTGGTGGACTAAAACTTGATTAGAAGGTTCATTTTCCAATGTTAGCCTCAAAACTTAGTATAAAAAAGTACCTAGAAAGAAACTTACAACGTGTTCAAAAGCTGAAATATAAAGTTGACAATTTCCTTTATTCAGTCTGATCATTGATATTCAACTTAAAAATCCAAACAATTCGTTTTCAGTCGTTGCCCGGCGAGAAGGCTGTCGTTTAAGAATGAGTCCTCGATCACCGCACTCTATCGCCTCAACTTCAGTCTACTCAAGTAGTCCTGAACCAAAGGAGGAAATCGATAATGTCTTGTGCACAGCTTTCCTAGACATGGTTAGTAGTTTGACATGGCCAAGTTAGACCGTTAGACATGATCTTTCTTTCTTATCGTACCTACTCTTTCTATTCAGCACTTGCAGGGCTCTGTTCGTTTCGATTGCTCTCCTTTGGCGTACGTGGATCCAAATGTAGACACTGTGCAAGCCTTGTTGCAATTGGAATCGTAAGTTTTCGAAGGATTGAATATTTTGAGGCAATATGGTGTCTTCAATCGTTTTGATTAAGAAGAACTCGATGCTCAAAACTCTGTTAAACTGCTGGAAATGGCTTTTAGTTTATCAATCCATCTTTCCTTTCAGTTTCTGCAATGGAGACACATCAGAGTGTTCGACGAGCCGTTTCACGTACAATCTCGATTTGAGCTTCGAGGATGTCCTCCGTTGTCCCACTTCGCTTTGTTTGCGAATACCGGTAAGTCAAAATTCTTGGTAAAGAAACTTCAAACCTAGATCTGACTTATAGTAACTTGTCCTTTTTCACAAAAAAAACAGTACTCATTCTGTTTATATAGAAAGATGTGGTGTATCTTTTTGAGAACTTCTCTCTTTTATACCCTTTCCAATATCTTCGTTTCCAAAATCCCCTTCTTATCTTCATATTTTCCCAATTTCTTTTCTCTTTTCTTTTCCCCCTTCTCATCTCCATTCTCCTCAAGATTTTCTAATTGAATCTCTGGATTTCGGAAAAGATTCTCAGAAAATCTCTCCTCTTTTCAATCATGATAATTCACTAGGCTATACAAGATGAAAATCGCTTTCAAAACGATAAGTACCCTTTTTCCGTTTTTTTGCAAGATCTTGATAAAAATGATAAAAAGCAAAAGCCGATAAGTTCTTTTTATCTATAAGAGATTTGGAAAGGATTCAAGAGAGTCGCAACAACAGAATTTGAATATTGAACATTGGAAAATTTGAATATCAACGATAAGCAAATCTTTTGGAATGGCAAAAGCAAATGAAAAGCAAATGGTTATCGATCTTTTTGAAATCTTTCTTCTGTTGGAAATACGGTGCCGAGGGTTACGTTACTTATTAGAGCTTCTGAGAAGCATGGTTTAGATTCTTTTAGTCTAGTACGTTGATAGTTGGTACACTTAGAAATAACACAATTTTTATTTTTATAAATAGTGGACGGGGTTTGTCTTGTTGCCTAAATTTAGTCTTATCAGTTCCCATTAGAAAGCAAAACAAGTTCATCATCTAATATTTTTTCTTTTTATTGATTCTTTATTGAAAAACTCTTAGATCTAGCTGATCTGCATGAGATGTGTGAAGTTGGTTCCTATTTGGTTTCTATTTGGTTCCTATTTGGTTCCTATTTGGTTCTCATAAAGATCTCATTTGGTTCCTATTTGGTTCCCATTTGGTTCCTATTTTGGTTCCCATTTGGTTCAGATAAAGTTGTCGGTAGTCTGAAGCAATATTGAGAAATATTCATGGAAATCATTCACCTTCTCATAACACAATTTAAAGTTGGTTTGCTAAGTTTAGAAAAGAGATTTCACTCCAAGACAAAGAGAATCCAGGAGAAATTATCCAGAAAATTCATGAGAACCCTTGGATTGACCCTCGTGAAATAGCAGATGCTGTTGGGTTCTCCCATAAAACAATCGAAAACCATCTGCATATTATAGGTTTTATGACCAATGGATACTGCATAACCTTACCGACTCCATGCAAGGACAGAGGTCCTACTGCCCTTTACAGAGTCTTTACAGATACGACAGGAAATCTTTTTTACCCCGACTAGCCAAAGGAGATGAATAGCAACTGTAAATTTTTAAAGGAAACGGTAATGGGTTAGCCTGGAGTTGCTGCTGCGACGGAGGTCCCCCCAGACCCCCACCACAAGAAGTACATGTTGTACAAGAAGTACATGTTGTACAAGAAGTACATGTTGTACAAGAAGTACAAGAAGTACAAGAAGTACAAGAAGCACAAGAAGTACAAGAAGCACAAGAAGTACATGTTGT